GACTGGAGTGGGGTTCAAGGATTGAGAAGCTAAATACTTGTCCACTGTTCAGGAAGGATTTGGGTTTAATCTGGCGGCCTTGAGTCAAGAGATGATATTCGTTGAGTTTTCTGAGGCTCTCAGTTTTCATCGCTGTTCCCCATTAGCTCAAGCTTCTGATGCTGTGGGAAGGAGTTGAGGTTCTGACCTGCTTGCCCAGTCTCCCAGACACCAAGCTCTTGCCCACTTGGTGCTGCAGGTTAGGAAAACTTCAGGATCTCAAAGTGCCCCGCCCAGTCTGTGGCCACGGGAGAGCCTCAGACCTCCAGTCCCTTTCTGCTCTCAGACCTAAAATTTGTCACGTTTCCCCCTAATTTACCAAATCTGTGTCTCAAGTGTGCATTTCCAGTCTATCCCCTAGGACCCCCAACCCTAGCAATTTTCAAGTAGCCAGAAAAAAGTGTGGATCACCAGTGAGCAGAGAGAGTGCTCCAGGGGAGCGCAGGGGTGAGGAAAAGACTAGCTATGGCTGGGCACTCCCTCTGGCTGGTGCTGACCTTTGTGAATAAAGCAGTTGGTAACTCGGAAAACACAGCTTCCTGGAGAGGCGCGCCGGCCACGGAGACTGAGGCCCAGGTGGGCCTCAAGGGAGATTCCCAGTCTCTACCGGTACCGACGCGACACTTGGTCCTTCCTTCCAAAGCTAGAGATAGCAAGTAGCCTTCCCAACCTTTCCCATTTGAATACATGATAATGAGCGTTGATTTTGGCAAGGTGATGCTTGCTAACGGCCAGGGGAACGGTTCTGTCGCCCGCGAGCAAGGCCAGGTGGGGAGCATCTCCTGCGCCGACATCCGGCTGCTGGCGAATCAGGCCGGCGCGCCAGCCTTCTCAGAAACCCGGGGGCGGCTCCAAGAGCCGTAGGGGAAGGGACAAAGCCCGTGGTAAAGAATTGGGATTAAAACATTTCCTTAAAATTTTTTTCAGTGAAGTGAAAAGCCATGGATGCGTGTATGTGTTGGTCCACACACACACCGGCCAGGGGCGCGGCCGGAAACCTTAAACTTCTCACTCCGCACAGAATTGCCGGACAAAACCGGTTTGGTAGTCCCAAAGCCCCTACCTACAGAGGATGGGATGCTTTGTGAGTTGTGAATTACTGTCTTAATTAATGATTTAATGACAGTAGGAAGGATAGAAGGAAGGTATAAGGAGAGTAAGAAAAGGAAAGGACAATCAAAGAAGCAGCGAAGGAGCAGGGGCTCGGGGCTTCTCTCCTGGCTCCCTGCGCCCGGCCTCCTGCGCCTCGGGGTCGTCCGGGCAGAGGGGGGCGAACGCCAGGTACACACAAGTGCAACAGTCGCTTCCAGTGTCCCAGGCCTTTCTCAGTCCTAAACTGACCCAGATCCCAGTCCAGGTTGGTTATGGACCGCGTGAAAGACTTGCAGGTCTTAGTTTCATTGCGTCTGGTTCTCTCTCATGGGCGGAGGATTTAAGCTTATCTGGGTGGCGGCCTACGGTGTAGCTGTTACCATACCACACTGAGCACGGCTGGGCCCACGGCCGCCGAGACCGGGCCACAGCCCCGTCTAAGGGAGCATCGGCGGGGTGAGGGGACAGCAAGGGAGGAACAGAGACAGAAGTCCTCGGGAGGCTCAGGGGACACCGCAGAGCCCCGCCGCTCCCAGCCCTGCTCCCTGCCCACCCTGTGGCCCCGCTAAACGGGAAGGTGCAGCCGCAGGCAGCCGCCTGGGCCCGGGGGCCAAGTCGCGAGCCCCAGCCTCTCCTTCCGTCTCTCGCGGTCGTTACCCGCTGTTTCTCTCTGCCCGAATGAAGATCTGCGAAAAGGGCTCCTAATCAGGTAATGCTGGGAAAAAGGGTAGCGGTGGTGGCCGAGTATGGCTGATGGATCTTGTACCGCCCGCTCCCACCGCAGGACTGAGCGTGGAGCAGACCCCGAGGGCTTAGAAGGCGCAGCTTCCGGGAAGGGCGGAGCCGCTTCCTCCGCCCTCGGTCACCTGGAGTGTTCGCTCACCCCTCTGTCTCGACCGCCTGGCTTCCTCCGCCTGAGGAGCCTGCCCTCTCCGCTACCTGAGCCGCCCCAGGCTCCGGCAGACCCGGCCTCGCCCAGGAGAGTTTGGCCCGGGACGCCCCAGCAACCGCCACGTGGCTCCCTTGCCTGGAGTCTACCCAGCCTCTCCTAGGCTGAAGCCAGGTCTATGCCCGGGAAGAGCTTAGAACAGTCTTCGGCAAAGCGTAAAGCCTGGGCCTGTTTGGGAGAGGCTGGAAACAAGCAGGCTGCACCAACCAGACACATCACCTAGCTGCCTACGGGCCAAACCCGAAGCAGTAGCTTTGCTTTCCTTGCTGTTTGCGTTACAAATCAAAGACCCGGCATGGCCCTGCTGATTAGATTTTAAACCTCTTGGGAAATGACTGGTTGGCATCTGGATGCACTAGAACTTAATCTAAATTTGTTACGTATCTTGGACTACCGTCACTGAGGTGCACAGGACAGTAAGCGAGCTGCCACTCTTCCTTCTTGGCCTCAGGCAGCCAGCTCTAAAACAGAATCGAAGGGAGGAGTGCGGAGCTCCAGTCTCACGTTGCGGTGCTCACGGGAGGTGCCCGCGGGAGGAGTCAGCGTTCCCTCCCCACGACAGGAGGCGCTGTGATCGCTGGAATTCCTCGGGCTGCGGACCCTGGTCAAGGCTCTAAAGTCACCCGGCTTGGGTTTTGAAGAAGCCTTGGAGGAATTTTGCTTCAGCCATCCCGCTATGAACAGTGGGCTTTTTCCTCTTAAGCTGACTTTTATTTTTTTAATATGAGGCCCAGTAGGTTTGGGAAGCCAAAGACAAAGAATATTTTATTTTTAAATTGACCCCTTTTAAAGTGACAGCAAGTTTTTTCCCTCTCTTTTTGTGCGCCATAAAAGCTATTACCAAGTTATCAACTACCCATTGAAAATACCCTGGTCATGCTCCGCGTTGTTGAAGAGCCAAGAGGGCGTTGGAGAATCACCGCGGGAAGGAACAAGGAAGCTCATTAGCTCTGAAAGTCCCCCCAGAACAGGCCCCAGAAGCTAAGAACCCCAGGTCCTGCTGCTGATGGGATCTTTGCACAAAAGAATAAGTTTCTGACCGTCGCCCTGAGAAATATGTACAAACCCACACATTTGCAGATACATTTACACAAACTGATGGGACTGACTTAGAATCACAGGGGCAACCTGAAGTTGGGGAGGGCTCCCTGCTCTGCTGACTTTCAGGTGGACTTAATTTCACTCTCAATCCTTTCCTAACAAAGTTTCTCCCCTTCCACCCTTTTTTTTTTTAAGGAATTGTAATCCAATGCTTTTATCTTTTTCATTTCCTTAACTGCACATCTTCACCTTCTCATGCTCCCCTGCTGATTTAAGAGATTTCTTACGTTCAAGGGTTTAACTTGATTCTGTTGCCAGATTTCAAGAAAAAAGATTTCAAAGAACAAAGAACAAAGAACAATTTGGAAGACAAGTTAAAACACATTTCTTAAAATGAAATTAACATTTTAAAAAAACTCTACTGAACAGTATTTTTGCCGATTCTTAGTCACTTTAGAAAGATTTTTTATTTTATTGCTACTTAGGAAAACAGTGGTTCTACCTAGGGTACTACAGTCACACACATTCAAAAACACATGCTCACATTCATATATATTCAGAAACACATTCAGAAATTCACACACGCACCATCCTCGCAGTCTATCACCAACTCAGCGCTCATCATCCTGTCACTTTAGTTGGTCATTCTCCCCAGGACTCGAAAGCAATTCACGACCCAGGGCTTCATAGGAGCCACGAGACTTTGCTTGAGGGAGACCTTCCCACCGTTGTCCAGGACCGACAGGAACCAAGTGACTGCTTGGAGTCCTAGCCGGCCCCTCCAAGTCAGAGATGGAACCAGGCACCGCCGCACACCACTGCTGGCTTGGCCTGGCACCTCTCTAGCTGAGCAGATGCATTCCCGCGTCCGCACCCAGGCTCTCCCAGCTAACGCGCGTTCTTAGGAAGATGTCCCCACCCCCTGACCTTTCCCTAACAGACGGTCGCCTCCAGCTCCGTCCCCGAGGCTGCGGAAGGGGGGGTGGGAGGAGGAGCTGGGCAGACGGAGGACGGCCCGACTCGAGTCCGCCTGCCCTATCACACAGACATCTGTTCTCAGTTTCTTCCTCTTTATGATCGCTACAAATGACAAGGGGAGTTGAGCAGATCGAAGCGGAAAAAAAAAAAGTTATGTCATAAAGATATAAAACGGTGCTGTGACTCACCTGCTCTTAGCCGCAGGTACGGGTTTCGTAGCAGCGTCTCCACTCTGCTAGCCAGGAGCCCAGATCCGCCTAACGTCACTCGGCTCGGCTGACTCAGATGCCAGTTTCTAGTCACGGGGCAAAAGTGGGGCTTTTTCCTTTTCCCAGCCTTTAGTCCGGGCGTAGGTAGGGGGTGCGGGGAGGAAGGAGTCTATATTCCCCAGTCACCCAGGGTTGAACTTTGAGTCAGGAATCAGGAAGGTGGGGGCTGGAAAAGAGCAGAAAAGCTGGGGGGGGGCGGGGTACCCGGCTGCAGCCCGGGCCTCGGGAGGGCGATGAGACCCTAGGATCATTTAGTCGCACTGCCCCAGGAGCCTGGGCCCCAAAGCCACCGCCTGCAGCCCTTCTCTGGCTGAGCCGTTTGCATCCAGAATTCTCGCTAGCCCGCCGGCCCCGCCTGTTTTTCTTTTTTCCTCTTCCAAAGGGGGTTACACCCCCACACACACCCCGTTTCCCTCTTCCCGCAGCCTCCTGGCTTAAACCAATTACGCTGCTTTGCAAACAAAGTGAGGGCTGGGTTTGGGGGCGGGAGGGAGCTGAACGGGAGGGGGCGCAGGGGGCGCGCGCAGCGGCGGCGCGTCTGGGCGGGAGGCGCAGCGGCTGGACTGGCGGGCGGCCGCCTCGCAGGTGCACCTCGGGCTTTGTAGGTGCGAGCGTCTTTGTGCGGCCGACAAATGGGGAGAGGACGAGGAGGTGGGCACTCGAGCGACGTAAGATCCACATCAGCTCAACTGCACTCGTCTCGCAGAGGCCGTCCGCTCACTTCCCGCGGAGGCGCTCCCGGGCGCCGCGCTCCGCGGCCGCCGCCTGCCCCCGCCCGCCGCGCCACCGCCGCCGCGCACGCCGCGCCCCGCAGCTCCTGGCTTCCTCCTCTCTAGGCTGGCGTTGGGCGGGCGCGGGCGCTCGGGTGACTGCTGTTGCTCTGCTCCCAGCCCCCCGCCCCGCGCCGCGCGGCTGCCCGTCGCTTCGCACAGGGCTGGATGGTTGAATCGGGCAGGGTGGCTCCAGGATGTTAGGGGCTGTGAAGATGGAAGGGCATGAGAGCAGCGACTGGAACAGCTACTACGCGGATACACAGGAGGTGAGAGGCGGGCAGCAGACGGGACGCTCCCGGAGCTCGTGCTGGGAGAGGCCCGGCAAAGCCGGCGCCGTGCAAGGCGGGAGGCTGGCCGACTGGGGACGCCTCCGCGGTGCCACCACTGCCCGCCCACCCTGTGTGGTCCCGGCTGGGCCGTGGCTGGAACTCGCGGTCGGATCCACTGCCCTGAGGGGTTGTCTGGGTCCTAGCGCTTGAAACCGGCGAGAGGGTATTAGGAAACTCTTGGGCTTTTCAGAGTACCCGCTCTGAGAAGCACTTGCCTCTTCCCTGCCGAAAACGGAGCTGGAGCGGCGGGTTGGCGGGCAGGCGCCAGCACGAATTGGAGGCAATACTGAGAAAGCCAGAGCTCTCCCGCAGGACGGCCTTTTCCTCCCGCGGTTGAATTCGCAGATGCTTTCTGATGAAAGCCCGCTGCCACTAAGTTGAACGTCTTAATAATGAAACGATTCCGAAATTTTGCAAAACTTCTTTAAAAGCCTGTGTGGAGAGAAGTATGTTCATTCTTCTCTAGAACCGCTGGGTGGCGCTGGTGCGAGCTGACTTTTCCTTCCGCACTCCCGGCGGAGAACCTGTTTCTCTTCATTGTCCCCTTGGTGGCACGTTCGTGTGGTTTATTTTACAATGTGCACAAAGGGATTGTGAGAAAAACCAGGTACAGGCAAGACCACCACCTACTAAAAGTATTTCTCTGGAAACAGCTGGCGATTACCCCTAAAAAGTTTACCATTATTGAAAACGCTTATTGAAACTGCCTTGGATAATCTTCAGGAGAGGAAGAACAAAAGTAAAAACATTTTTAGACATGGACAGAAAAATGGAAATATTTTCATAGTGATTAATTTATTTAAAGTAGTGTATTTACATATTAGCAAACCTGACTCGAGTTTATTTGCATATTATAGCAGAATGTGTGCCTAGTTAAATCTGTTTGCTCACCTTTTATGTTTTCAAATGAAGTCATATTTGCAGATGAAAATAAATTTAGGGATATCGTTATTATCAGAGAGGTAGTTTTTATATTTCTGGACTAGATTTTTTAACATATCTAATGCACTCCCAAATTGCTGTTGATAAGGGTTTTCTCTTACATCAGATTTAGAACAGAGCTCAGAACCCTTAGGTTTAATTCAAATGCAGTCATCTCCATCCACTAGCCAATTAAGTCCCCTATGAAAAGAACTTCCTTACAGGTTAAAGTTGAGCATTGGGAAGTAGAATAGCATTAAGAGAAAACAAGAAGACTTTGATTTTGGAATTTTAAAGTAGTTTCAAAAGCCAGGCTTTGAAATGATTAGCGGCAACATATCGGTATATGAAAAAAAGTAGATGATTATTTTGACAAATAATGTCACTGAAACTTTCAAATGTTAGGGGGCTGGAAATAGGTAATGAAATTAGTGTGTTTTTGATTGGCTTAAAGAGGTGTACATGTAAAGTCTTGCTAAAGTTAAATGTATGTGGTACATTGATATGCACCTCTCTCTGTCCCTTGCTGTCGATCTATTTTTAATTTTTTCCCAAAACTTACTTAATTTCTGAGTTTCTTTTCTTTTTTTCTATTACAGTTGCCAGAAGTAGGTGGAAAACACTATTTCTAAATGTAATAACAAAAAGTCACCATTTGGTGAATACTGTTAAGACAATAAAGCCAGTTGCTGGGAAATGTATGGTCATCTGGCCATGGATGATTTGCTCTATCAAGGAGAGTTTAATTAACAGTTATCCGGCACAGCCGAGGCCTGGTATTCGGTCAGCTGGGCCTGGCAGGTTTAGGCAAGGTGGGCACAGAGCCGGTGTCCTGTTGCCAGCGCCGGAAGGCTGCCTAACTCACTGCACCTTTGAGGTGGAGTGAATAAGGAGAGGGTCAGAGATCAATTCTGTTTTCGGATCTTTAACTAAAAGGGGGCTTTGCCAAGGCCGATCCGGGCTGGCGACTGGGATATCCCCTGGTGTGGATGGGGGAGGAGATAGAGGGGCCCCAGAAACAGGCCCCTGAGCATGGCATGTAAGGCGATTATCTTTCTGGGGACATGTTTTCTGTGAGAGCCTGTCTTTCATGCCTGCCGCGCTAGGATTTCCCCCCACCCACGGTGCACATCTCTTTGCTCTTCCTGGGGAGGGAGCGCGACCCAGGTAGGGGGCTCTATACTTTGCAAAAAGTGCTTTCCGTTTGTCTTTGCATACCCCGCCGGTGGGTCACCCGCGCCCACCACTAACCCCACTCTTCGGGCCTTTCCTTCGCTATCTCCGCTTCAGGCCTACTCTTCGGTCCCGGTCAGCAACATGAATTCGGGCCTGGGCTCCATGAACTCCATGAACACCTATATGACCATGAACACCATGACCACGAGCGGCAATATGACACCAGCTTCATTCAACATGTCTTACGCAAACCCGGGCCTGGGCGCTGGCCTGAGCCCCGGCGCCGTGGCTGGCATGCCAGGCAGCTCCGCCGGCGCTATGAACGGCATGGCGGCGGGCGTGACGGCCATGGGGACCACGCTGAGCCCAGGAGGCATGGGCGCTATGGGCGCGCAGCCCGGGGCCTCCATGAACGGCCTGGGCCCGTATGCGGCTGCCATGAACCCGTGCATGAGCCCCATGGCCTACGCGCCGTCCAACCTGGGCCGCAGCCGGGCAGGTGGTGGCGGAGACGCCAAGACTTTCAAGCGCAGCTACCCGCACGCCAAGCCACCCTACTCGTACATCTCGCTCATCACTATGGCCATCCAGCAGGCGCCCAGCAAGATGCTCACGCTGAGCGAGATCTACCAGTGGATCATGGACCTCTTCCCCTATTACCGGCAGAACCAGCAGCGCTGGCAGAACTCCATCCGCCACTCGCTCTCCTTCAACGACTGCTTTGTCAAAGTGGCACGTTCTCCAGACAAGCCGGGCAAGGGCTCCTACTGGACGCTGCACCCGGACTCTGGTAACATGTTTGAAAACGGCTGTTACTTACGCCGCCAGAAGCGCTTCAAGTGCGAGAAGCAGCCAGGGGGCGGGAGTGGGGGCGGCGGCAGCGGCGGTGCCAAGGGAGGCCCTGAGAGCCGAAAGGACGCCTCAAGCACCGCCAACCCTAGCACCGACTCGCCACTTCATCGGGGCGTGCACGGTAAGACCGGCCAGCTAGAGGGCGCGCCGGCCCCCGGGCCCGCCGCCAGCCCCCAGTCTCTGGACCACAGTGGGGCGACGGCGACAGGGGGCGCCTCGGAGTTGAAGACTCCTGCGTCCTCGGCTGCGCCCCCTATCAGCTCCGGGCCCGGGGCTCTGGTATCTGTACCCCCCTCCCACCCGGCGCATGGCCTGGCACCCCACGAGTCCCAGCTGCACCTGAAAGGGGACCCCCACTACTCCTTCAACCACCCCTTCTCCATCAACAACCTCATGTCCTCCTCGGAACAGCAGCACAAGCTGGACTTCAAGGCTTACGAGCAGGCACTACAATACTCGCCCTATGGCGCCGCGTTGCCCGCCAGCCTGCCCCTAGGCAGCGCCTCGGTGGCCACCAGGAGCCCCATCGAGCCCTCAGCCCTGGAGCCGGCCTACTACCAAGGTGTGTATTCCAGACCCGTCCTAAACACGTCTTAGCTCCTCGGGACTGGGGGTTTGTCTGGCATGGCCATTCTGTAGCAGGAGAGAAAAAAAATCAACAGCAAACAAAAAAACATACCACACTGAGAACAGCATAATAAAATCCCAACTATTTTTATTTCATTTTTTGTGCGCAATATTTCCCCCAGTGCAAAGGACTGTTACTTTGTTATTGTATTCAAAATGCCTTGTGTATATTATTACAAAGAAAACCAATCCCAAACCAACAATTTTTTTCTCGCAAAGTTTAATGATCCACAAGTGTATATACATGATCCTTCTACTTTCTTGTCCCTCTTTCTTCCCTCTTTCCCTTCCAGACTGACACATTCTAGTCTGTGTAGGGTTTATTTAAAACAAAAAGAAAGATGGCCAAGCTTGTAAAATATCTGGGCTTACCCCCACCCACCCGTCTTCACCTGACCCCCCCTCCCCACCCGCCATACACACACACACGTTTGCAGGTCTATGGCAATACTCTTAACCATAAGAACTGAAAAGGTGAAGGAGCAAGTAGACATGGGCTGTTAAAAGTCCTGAAGGACAAAACTGCTCTTAGGCAGCAAAATATAAACTGATTATAAACATCAGAGCCGGTTTTTTTCAGCTTAAGTTTCTAATACTTTCAGGCGGCAGATGTCCTAAAATGAAACACATATCTACTATGTACCGACTTATTTATTCACAGGCTCAGACACCTAGACATCCTCATAGCATATAAAGGTAATAGGAGGGTGATATACATGCTACATTTTCGAGAGTTGCCTAACCAAGAAGTTACAAAGACACCCCCACCTTGTTCTCCCCACCCACACGGAGTCCTGTAATCGATTCCTAAGAATTGTCCCCCTCAATTACTCTGCTTCTTGCTGTGCAGAGTACCATGGTCATGTCATTCTGAGGTCATGTAACATTTATAAAATTAGCTTCCATGTATCTATACCATTTAAATAATATTTTTTCCAAAAAAGGGGGAGTATTACAATGTTGGAAGAGAGATAAATTATAACAGGGAACCATATATCAAAATTTGGCCCAAGATTCCAAAATCCAATTGATTGTGGCCATTTTAATTATTGCCATCGTGTGCTTGTTTCATTCAGTGTTAATGCACTTTTCACAGTTGGACATGGTGTTAGTATAGCCAGACGGGTTTCATTATTATTCTTCCTTGCTTTCTCAATGTTAATTTATTGCATGGTTTATTCTTTTTTTTCTTATAGTTGAAATTGCTTTAAATGATGGTTAAAATTAAAAATTAAAATGTTAATTTTTATAAATGTGATTGTAATGAAAATATTTTGATTTAAATAACAAAAATGATAAATTTTAAGCCGTGGAATATGTTCTTGATCATTTGCAGTTAAGGACTTTAAATAAATCAAATGTTTAAAAAAAAGGATTTTTGTTATTTTCCTTAATTAAATCCAAAATAGATATTCTGAAATATATTTTTCAGAGTCTAGCACTGAATGTGACAAAAAGGAAAATAATCTACAATAAAATTGTTTATATTTATATATGAAAATGTAGCTAGTCGAAAGCAGTTACAGAGATTCAATAAATGTGGATAAATTGAATACTCCAATCATTGACTACTCCAAGAATTTAATAATTTTAAGATTCTTTATTCCCAGAATGTTTACTACAATTTTTTGGATGGACTTAAAGCCTTCTGTGTTTTCTTTGAGCCTTGCCACAATAAAATCCAATATTATTAAATATCTTTCCCCCTTCCCGAATATATAATTTTCCTTTATCTGAGAGGTATTCTAGTGAGCATAAAATATTAGTGTGGCTGATAAAATTAAGTTGTCTACATAGACAGAGAACCCTGAACTCTCTTTTCATTAAAAAAGGGAAAATTTAACTATTGTGGTAGCTTTGGAGGGGGCTGGGGGACAAGTTAATTCACTCCTGCAGGGGAAGCTTTGCACCACCAGGACTCTTCAGGGTAGCTACTCTTTTGTATTTTGTAATATATTTTTTAAAAATATTGTTTCTAAAAATATCCTGAGGAACTTAAAGCTGATGACTTGCTTGTCTTCTAAGAAGCTTTTAAATGCAACTTCACACCCCTACAGTTGCTTGAGATCACAAAATCATTAATCTCCTTTGATAGTAGGCTCACTTTCCAGTCCACCTATTTCTTTGTAAATTTTGTTCGGATTGAGATCAACAATAACACCACCAGCCCAAGCAGAGACTGTGGCCTGCCTGAGCCCTTGTGTATGAACTCCATCCTCTCCAGGGCTTGAACTTGGACAGCCTTTACTTTGATCGCCCCACTCCACACCGCGGACAAGATAAAAAGAGCTGTGTGAGTCCCTTAATTATCGCGTAATTGCCTCCGCGGATGAGAAGGGGTGCCATGTAGCACTTGAGAAAAATACAGAAATCCCAAACTCCGCTCTCACTTCAGCTAATGAAAGGAGGAGAGGGAAATTACTGGTTTGAGTAATTTCAAAACCTAATTTGGAGGCCTCGAAGGACTTTAAAGTCCCAAAGAGAGGAAAAAGCTTTCAATCCCGACAGTTATTTGTATTTATATAGAGGGTAAACAAACATTGGCAAATTCGAATTCCAATTGTAATCTAAAGGCGTGAGGTTGGGCCTCGGATGTTTTACTCGGCCCCACTGAATCTAAATCGGGTAACTCCCGCGCGTTCCCCTGCGTGATGTTCCCTGCCCTCTCTTTTAACATAATAGCAATATAGTTGTCCTGCCTTCGCCCACCAGGCTTAAGCAGACCTTAGTTCTCGCTCTTTCTTGACAGACTTTTTTCTGGGCTTGCGGGGGACGGGCCGCCCCGGGTTTATGTCCGAGGCCACTTCGGGAAGCTGGAATGGTGGTGACGAGAGCGGGTCTCCCCTCGTGGGCCTCTCACCGGATTTTCTGCTACCTCTGGGCACCTTCCGCGCACGGTGCCGCCTCTGGGCTGTGGCGACGGCGGTGCAAGTGCGCCCCGCGCATTAGGACGCACGCGAGTTGGGGCCAGGGCAGCGGGTAGCCAAGGAAGGGGAGCAGAGCAGGACTGAAAGTATCTCGAGGTGACAAGTGCAGTTAGTTCTTCATTGTTTCGGCATTTTCCCCTCCTAGCGAATAAATCTGCTGAGCCCGAGACCTAAAAAGTCAACAAAGAAGGCCAGACGCCTCGTTACCGCTGCTGCGGCCCCATGGCCCGCGTTGCCGCGGCTGTTCCCGCTGCGTAATCCCTTCGTCGGAAACACCGACACACAAACGCCCGATCGTCGGGGCTGGGGCGCCGCGCCCCGGGGCCAGGAGGAAAACAGCAGTGATTCCGAGGGGGCGCTGGGACCCTCCTCGAGCGCGCCGCCTCCCCGGGACCCCTCCCACTCCCCTCTTTGCCGAGAGTTTCTGTATTTCTTCACTTTAGATGCTCCTGCAGACAAGGGTCGACTAGGGGATGCGGACTGCTCAGCTGCTGTCCCGGGGCTCGGTTTATTTAGGAATTTCGCCCGAGGTGGGGGAGGGGTCTCTGGAGGAGGAGGGAGAGAATGAGAAGGGAAAACCTTCCGAGGCCCTCCTATCTACTGACAGGCGCCACCCAGCAAACACGTTTAGAGAAAAAGAAAAATGTTTTGGGGAGTGAGTATAGTCCTGGGGAGGTGAACTACAAACATTACTTTCACCCTGTGGCAGGCCTGAAACGTTTTTTAGAGTAATAAAAAGAGAAAACAACTGAACACAGGAAGAAGAAAAGGTCGCCCGTTCTATTCAGCAGAAACTACACAACTTAGAAGCGTTTCCAAGTAGAAGGCAGCTCAGTTTGTTTTCTACTTGATACCTAGTAATGTATTTAAATCAATGATAAAATTTATCTTCCATTGCCTCTTGGTCATCCCCCCTCATAGAAGAATGAACTGGTGAGAATTATTAAGGGAGGAGGGATTAAACATACAAAATGCTATGAAATTTCTTCTGTTTTCATTTTCTGAAGGCTACATACGGGACTGATTGCACTGAAAATTGTGAAAAACTATTTTTCTCAGGAGTCTAACATTTGAATGAGCCATAGCAGAAAAAAATTCCTGGAGTGATAATATTTTAAATCCTTGTCGTTTTGGCACTTTAAAAAAATTGACCTCAGTTCCACGAAAGTGCTTATTAAATTTCTTTGCAAAAAACTTCTGCGATCAATACAAATTCCTTTCAATACAGAGAGACCTGTAGCCCAGATTAATTAACCTTTCTTCAAGATCAATTGGTTTTCTGTTGATTTAGCAGTAATATTGTGGAACATTTAGCTATAATGTATTTTAATGTAATACCTCAATATGTCAAGAGGAAAAACTCCTTGCAAAGATAGAATTGCTTAAATTACTTACTAGGTGTTTAATAAATTTGTAAGAATATTTCACTTTGAAATTTTTAATTGCTTATTTGAATTGTAAAATGTTTTGAAACTAAATGGAATTAAGATAATGTCTAATTACTTAAAGATAATTATGTGCAAAAAGGTGACTGTTTGAAGCTAACTTGGGTTAAATAGGTAATTATGCTGAAACTTAGAAATAAGACTTTCCCAAGAAGAAATAATCATTAGCATCAATAGAAACCCATGAGAGTAAGAATATAATAAAATGAAACAACCTGGAAGCTTTTACAACCTTCCTATTTAGAAATACAATCCATTTGCAGAGTCTAAGGGTTTTTTTAAGTAGTCATTTTCTACCCATGATCCCATCTGATACTTCCAAATAACATTTAATAACAAGTTACTTTAGATACTCTGGGTTTTTTCTTCCAAATAGTTAAGTTTAAGACTCTAATGGTCCCACTGGTGTTTCTCTTTTTAGCTTCCAGTCTAGCTTGATTTGTTGACCCTTGAGCAGCTCAGTCTGCAACCCTCACCTCCCCGCCACTGCCCCCCCCCCACCTCAACTGTCGTCCTAGCAAAGCAATATGGAGCTGGAAAACACCCAAGCAAGTTCAATTTTAACTTGTAAAATACATGCATTTTCTTGCTATAAACATGTTTTTAAAGTCTGACAAGGGGGAAATCCTCTCTTGCTAGCTTTCTTTCTCTATCAAACTTCCTCATTTCTCCGATCTTGTGAGCTGTGACTACACAATGTAAGAGTAAAGCTCACGGTGAGCGTGATCTCCCCTCTGCAGCTCAGGGAAGTGAAGAGCATCCCTTCTTGTCGATACAACTTTGTGATATTTTTGGGTTCCTTATTTTCTAGTCAATTTAGAGTATAAACATAGAATATTCTCCCTCAAAATGGAATAAGTGCTTAAGGACATCAGTTTCTAGGTGAGATGCTCAACACATCACACTGAGATCAACTTCAGAACCTGGCCTTACCAGAGCAGGCCCTGACTCAGAGCTCTGAGTGTGAGGTTGCCTTGGGTGGATTTTTAATTCTCAACTCCTCTTCAAGATTACATACACATCAGGGGCTTTTTTTTTTTTTTAACTACTGAAACCAAGTAAAATAAACTGGAAATACCCACCAAAGCTTTGCCTGGAAATAGGGAACAATGCACTGAACTGGAAACCTCATTGGTTTCTTTCCCCTCTCTCCCATAAAATATTAGTTACCCCTTTGCTTGTCTAATCATGTCCCAGGTCATTTTTTCCCCCTCTCTCTTACACAAGGAGTTGTTATTTTAAAACACAAGCAATTTAATGAGAAGAATGTAAGGGGTTTTGCAGTGGTTTATTTATTTATATATTTACTTTTAAGGACCCATTATGCTGGAGGGAGGAGGCTCCCCCACCCCCACCCCTCCAGTGCTACACTCTTGGAGAGCTGATTTTCTTTGCTCCATTCAAGTGACTGGGGCGTTTTTGGAACGTTCCCCTAGTTCTAGGTACCACCTGGGAGCCTTGTGCTTCACTCCCAGAGCCCAGCGACACAGTCCTAACAACAACTCCGTAGCGCCAATTCCGTAGCGTTCTCCACCTCTTTTTCCTAGATGGAGGCCGGTTCTCGAGCTCAGACTGCAATGAGCCGTGCGGCAGCGCAGGGCACCTTCAGGGTTCCTCGCCTCTCTCTAGTCACACTGCCTTCAGATGACACTTGCTTCCTTTGTGTTATGCCTGGCTAATATATTAATGGGGCGGATAACCCCAGTCCACTGAAGAGAGCTGGAGGGGTTGGAGACAGGGAAGGGACGGAAGGGAACCAAACAGCTCTAGTTGCTGACCCCCTGGGCCAAAGAGTTCAGAGGCAGACGGGCTGAGGCAAGGGATCTGGGGGGAAACAATCAAGGTGGAGAAAGTTCACGATGAGTGCGCTGAAAGCAAACTTAAAATGCCCGCAGCTCCTATTTAGAAAGTTGATCTGCTGCTAACTTGCTGTCCTGGGTTCAGAACTGCGAGGCCGGACACCAAGGACCCTGGAAAGGCTGCCCCGCGGGGCCGAGACCGCCGCGCGCCTGCTGAGTGTCCTCCTCCCCTCCCCTGCCTTCTCGCCCCCACCCCCGCCCAGAGCCAGGTCGCAACGCGGTGTCCTGGACTCACAGGTGAAAAGTCCTCACTCCGTGTCGTAGGATGCACTTCTCAGACTCTTCAAACTCTAGCTAAGCCTCCACCTTAGACGCTACGTCCCAATGGTTAAAAATAGACTCCCAAACCACCCCGGTCAGCTGTGCTCAACCAGACCCTTGCCTTCCTCACTCTCGCCTCCAAGGAGCTCTCTGGCCTCCCAGTCAAAGGTCTTCACTGATTAACCGCAGATGGAACCTCTGCACTACTAAGTGGGAGCGAGGAACCGAGACCCTGGGCCGGAGGCCCGAAGCCTGGGGCCCCGGGGACACGCTGCTGGCTGGGTGCTGCCCTCGCCACCTGTCCCAGTCGCCCAGGCTGAGCGCACGGCGGAGCCCCCTCCCCGCCAAGCCTGCAGCCCCGCCCGCCAGACGGTGCCCGGGCGCCCCGAGACATATGCTGCCCGCAGGCCGCGCGGCCCGACGTGGTGCTCATTGCCGAGGCGGTTCTCAGCGCATCAAAAGCCCAGGCTTTCTTCAGCCGTATGGGCCACGAGGTGAACAACAATGCCCGGGCCCCTTCACTTCAAAAGCGGCGATCAGGGGAAAGGCTCCCCCGGAGAATTTTTTTTCTCCTCTGCCTTTCATTCCAGGTTAAAAAAAAAAAAAAAGGCATCAGCTACTCCAGGGCCCGGGCGAGCCTAATGCCCTTTGATGGGGATTGAATTCATTATCTCCAATAACACAATTGTGCTTGGCCAACGAAAAGAGCAAAGCAGGACTCTATCCTGCCCGAGGGGCCGGCCGGGCGAGGCGGGCGGGCGAGGCGCGCTCCTGGGAGCCGCTCCGAGGCGCAGTCCCGGCGGCCGGTCCTGGCTGCGGCTCCCCCTGGAGAGAGGGACGCGGACCCCCGCCCCCGCGACTGCAGGACGGGTGGCGCCGCCCGCGGAGGCCGCGCGGGGAGCGGGCGGGGCGGCTCTCTCGTTTGATTTATTTTTCGTGGCTCCCTTTGCAGCCATTCCCCAAGGACGGCCCCTCAGGCTGGGTGTTTACTCTTTTCCCTCCTGGCCTCCAGCTGCGAAGCAGTTCCTGGCGTCTGGGGCGCGCCAGCCCGAAAAGCGGCTCTGCGCCACGGGCAGAGAGCGAAGATCTCCCAAAAGCCCGGCCGCGCCGCCCAGTCCCGGCGCGCCGGCTGGGAGCCGCTTTACTTGGAAACCCCTACTGATAAGCAGGGCTTTAAGGCGCCCCTGGCCTTAAGGCCCTCTGCTCAAGCTCTCCCCACTCGCTTTCACGCAGGCCTGGGGCACCGACCGCGGAGCCGCGCTCCGGGAGCCTGGGCGGTCTGCTGGGGCACCAGGTGCAGGGTCCCCGCGCTCAACGTGCTGCGCCGCCCCTTTCGCTTCCGGCGGTGTGGGCACTGCCCAGCACCGCGTCCTTCAAGCCAGCGTCCTTTCCCGAGTTCCACTGTCATCCTTGCCCTTTCAGCTACCGCCGTCTCCCCTGATTCTCTGCTCTGCGGGAGGTGAAAACAAAGACCAAAATGCCCACTATCCTGCCATTTGACCTGGGGTGTGTGTGTGAGAGAGAGAGCGAGATAGGAGGCAGAGAGACAGAGAGACAGAGAAATTCCCTAAGAATCATAATTACAGAAGACTTCTCTTTAGCTTGGTTTCTAAAAAATGAGTTTAAGTCATTTCATTAGTGGGCATACTTCCTACACAACCCTATTTTTCTCTTCATCCATTACTGAAGAACATAAGTGTTGCAGTTTTATTTCAGTCAGATAGAGAATAATAAACAGACACTAAAGTACTTTTTTTTGTAAGAACACTAATGGAATGCTCTACGGTAGTCACCATGGATTAGGATGTGCTGTTCCTTGCCAATTAGTCATGACTATCCCAATCTTCAAGCGATTGACTCTTCACCTTTCTCTTTAGGGAATCAGAGCCAGCACATGCACACATATACTGTGATATATATTAGAGCCACACCATAGGATGTGTGTGAGCAGATGTGCTGACTTAGAGGAACACACACCAGACCTTCCCATCCACAAAACTGTCCCCAAAGCATGAAAGCAATAAAGTGATCTGCTGATTTTTGGTAAACCACAGAAAGCATTTTAGACTTAAGGCTTTCAGCTAGGCATTACTCTCAATTAAGAATACAGGAATTTCTTCATTTAATTCCTTTCAACATCAAATGGAGTCACCTTTACAAATTTAGCCATGGAACTCTGACCACTCTTTTCAGTTTTTAGGCACAGGCACTTGGGGGGAGGGGGGGAGAAAAAATTCCATGTGACATGTAATACTTAAGAGAAGATTTCAGTTCTTCTGACCTTTTTATTTTCGTTTTGTCTAATAATGCATCCTAAATATGACTTAAATTAAATATATATACTTATTTTTGTGAATATATGTATTTACTTTTATGGTTTCCATTTGCACCAAAAAGGGCGTAAAACATTCACCTTGCAAATATTCTGAGTCTCTAATAAAGAAGTCTGTAGGTAATGCTATTCTTTAGATGAGTTACTAAGCTCCAAATATGTTCACAAGTTATTAGTGACTTCTATTTTGGACCTTCACTCCACTTTTATTAGCTTATTAAAGAATAGGTTTGACACTGTGTTGTGTACCTAAAACCAATGTAAGATTGTATATCAGTGATACTCCAATTAAAAAAAAGAATAGGTTTGATTCTTGGTGACCAGTACTTTCACAGTCTGATGATACTTTTGTTACCTGTTATAAAATCTTTTTTAATCATGAAGTGGAAGTGCAATCTTTCCTGAATTGTGACTCACCATTCCCTACCTGGTAGACCACTGTTTTTCTTTTGCTTATCCATTATCACATGTTTAGAAATACTGAGTAGAGAGAGGCATTTATACAAGGTAAAGATAACAGTGATTTAGATTTTATAGACTAACAGTTTGAATAAGAGTTTAACATAACATGTATGACCAGAATAAGTCATATACACTATAGTTACTTGGGAATTAATTTTTATGATATTTTGAGGTCTTCAGAGTAACTACATTCTGGACTCAGGGTAAGAACCATTCCATGAATAACAATATGTTCAAAACAACCACCAAAAAAGCTTTAATTCTGACAAATAGCCACCAGAATAGAGACGCTACAGGACAGTCCTGTGGTTTATCACATAAACAATTTGTCTAGTGCCAGAGCACACATAAAGGATTATGGAACTTCAGATAAGCAGAGCATCAGAGGATGGATGAATTATTAAACAAAAGATACCACGATTTTCATGTAGATGTCTTTGGCCATGAAACAAAATTAGGAAGGAAGGGAATGTAAAGCATTTCAGTAGACATGAGAATTCATTTGTTATTATTTGTTCATAGCATTATCTAAAGTGCAACCCCAAAGCACACTTTAGCCTTGAGATTCACTGAATCTTGGGACCATAGAATATGGTGATGGAAAAGACATGTTTTCTAGTCCACTAACCTGCAAGATTACCCCCCTCACCATTTTCCCAAGCCAGTGCAGAATAGATTAGAATGTAAAGAACAGAAGGACTCCCACTTCCTGACTTTATCAGTGCAATAGAGAAGCACTATGCTCACAGTGCAAAACATTCTGCCCACAGAATATCTTCTCTGATATTTAGGTAAGATGGACTTACATTTTAATTATGCCATTTTGAAGATCCACTCTTATTAGTTCTCAAACCTGCTTCAGATACCTGAACACCTATTTCTCTAGCCAATCTGCACATTTACTTTGTTTAGTTCCCACCTAAAAATGATCCAAATAAAGTGGTACAAGTAGGAAAATAATTTAAATATGTATAAGCATTGGACTCTCTATTCTTAATACTGAAAGAGGAACAAAAAGTTAAAACTCAAGAATTCCTTTGAATTATACCAGCATTATAAACAGGCGACTTGGTCCGCAAGTGAGATGTCATACAAACATTAGGTTATGCAGTTACTTCAGCTTTTAAGTTTGGTTATGGTAAGTAGTCAAAGGACCTCAGCTTCCTAAAATATGGTAAGTTTTTAAATTACAAGAACAGAACCTACAAACCAACCTGGGGTTGATCCATTTAGAGGACATACTGTTCCTCATTCTAGTGAGAGTTTAGGGTATTTGTTAATTTGTGGCCCACAGACTTAGATGCGGCTTATCAGGAATTTTTTATGTTGGAGTTTTATATAGTAAAGAGACCAAGTAAGTTCACTATACAATTTCTAAAGAGAAGTTAAACTTTGAATTTTCAATTCCAGAGATGCAGAAGCAAGAGCTTCAAAGCTGCATTATGATTTGAAGTCTCAGACTCAAAACCAGACTCTGCACATCCAATGCTCCTAAGGATTCACCCACTTTCTGTTCAGTGGCCTCTGGGCCACACTATGCCAAAGATTAACATTCCAGAGTATACCTTTCTCTAAAGTTACAACATCTATACTACGTCAGGCGATTAGAAAGGAAATGTTTATTGAACTGACAAGTAATTCGCTTGGTAAGTATAGTCACAGTAAGAACAGACAGTGAGTTAAGGAGAACAAATGAGATATAAGAAATGATCTCCTTTGCATTCCACTCACCTATCTCATCTTAAAAAACACTAAGTGAAACGGAAAATTGAAATTGTAATAAAAAAGAAAGGTTTTAAGGCTTGTGATAACTCAGAGTAACATTAAGAAGTTATGTAATAATATTACCAACTATATACATGCACTGAAGACAAGACTGCAAAGATACCAGCTTCTAATAAGTTGGCTACTGGGTTCTGGGCAAGTTCTACCCAATTCCTGTTTCATGTGGCATAATGAGTTTCAGCGTTGGGTTTTATTTAACTCTCTGTGTATGAGCACACCTGAAAAAATATTCAAGGAGCCTTCTTAAGTAAAGTGAGGTTTCCGTTTTTTTCGGGACATATTTTAAAGTCTTATATTCTCTTACCGATGATACTGTTTGTAGAATAACCGAAGATTTTAATAATAAGCATAAATCAACTTGAACAGAGAAAAACAGCCCTTTTTATTTTAGCCTTATCTTTAGCAACAGTAAGTGTGGTGTAGTAGCCAGTGTGCAACCTGAGACATAAAAAATGCAGGACATAGTAAGATCCTTCCTGACTACACTCGAGTCGAGAGGAGTACTAAACAATGATTGCTTGTTTTGCCTCTTTTTTTTTAGTGTTTTCAACTCAGGGGTGGTGGGAGGTATCTTAGTTTCAAGAGAAACAAGAAAACAGAGATTGCCAAGGAAATGTAAGGGATGAAAAGAAGAGCAGATAACCACAGCAGAAGACGCAGAAAGTATTGGCTCGTATATAGACTCAGATCAAGAGACTGAGGGACTCAGAGATGGGGTGGAGGCAAATTAATGGCCGAGGAGAGCTGGGCAGAGCGTGCTGAGGAAGGGCCAGGCGGGAAAAGATTTGGTGTCGTCATAGCAACGGGCTCAGCCCTGCTCCCCTGAAGTCCATTCAGCTCTGAGCTGCTGGAACACGTTTTTAATTAAAGCGTATAAAAGTTGTTTTGTAAGGACTTCTCCTCATCCGATAGATTTCAAAATGGTTAATCAGGCTTCATCTCCTTTTGATGCTCAGAAGTGCATGGGCTACTGCGTGCACAGAAACCGCCGCCGCCACCGCGGAGTTATCTCTCAATCACTCCTAAGGCGGAGAATGAGAAGGGCATCTAGTTATTTAGATGCACATAAACAGAGAATTCAAGAGGGAGTGGGGGTGGAGGGGGTTCCATTTTTATGATTAACTGGAAATGTTAATTTTCTTTGCTCCAGATACTATGGAATTCATCCTCTGGAATGGGTATGATGTTCTATTTAGCTTTCAGAAACAGCAAGATTTCTTTTCTTTGGAAGATACAGTCCAAAAGCCAAAATAAAAGTTATACATTATTTGTATCAAATATTTAATCTAGAGTGAGTATCCCCCCCAAAAAGTTGGCAGAAAGATGGCAACCTCCCCACTTTTTTGAGAGAATAAAAGGGGTCTCACTCCTAAAGCCTCCATAAATTCACAATATACAGCAACAGTTGCATTTTCTTCTTTAGTAAATGGATGACTTAATAGAAAAAGCATCTTTTGTTGATGCACGAAACTTCCTAGCAGATGACTCAAACCTTCTCTAGGTTTCCCATTTAAGAAACCCAAAAGGAACTCTGAATTCTTTGACTAACATTAGCACGCAAGCATCTCATCTGAGAGAATAAGGAAGCAGAGCCGGGGAAGGGACTGGTGGCTTAATGGCACTGCCCCTGGTGGCGAAGGGAGAGGCTTCCATTTCTCACCAGGCTTTCTCCGCTCCCGTCGCAGGCCCGACCCCGACCACGTTGTTTTGAGGCCAAGCCCACCGCTCCGGACTGAGCACAGTGGGCGGGCGTGGGCTGCCAGCAAGTCCCTGGCCTGCAGGCCTTCCTGTCAATGCCACCGAAGTGTTTCGGGCTCTGAGGTCCTTAGCTTTCCCTAAGGTGGGAAAACGATACATTGTCCAGGGGCAACTTCTTCTTTTTCTTCTGCTCTGAGCAGCCGTTTGACCCTCTGGTGGACTGCGTTCCCCGTGCCCCGGCGCCAGCCGTGTTCCTGACCCCAGAGTCAGTCATTGCCGCACGGGGCCTGGCAGGCTCCGGATCCATTTCTTGTCGCGGCCTAAGGGAAGCTGTTTGCCGCCAGGCCCGGGTGGGGACGGCAGGCGGCTGAGGGGCCGGCGGGCGCGGGGCCGAGCCCGCTGTGGGGGGCGGGGACGGCGCTCCCGGGACAGCTCCGCGCCTTGGGGCGGGACAGACCCAGGCTGGGAGCAGCGGGGCGCGCGGGGCCCCCAAGACGAGCCAGCTGGAGGAGGCCGTGGCTCCTAATATTCATTTATCTTACTTTACACATTTTCTGGTGCTCTCATTCCTTCCTATATTAAGTAACAAGATTCCATCCGTGATCACTTTCCCTTTGCCTAATCAACTCCCTTTAGCTTTTGTTTTAGTGGAGTTCTGCTTGATACTCTCTCAGCTTTGACTGGGCAATTAATTTTAGGTTATTGATTTTTTTACTTTCAGCACTTTCCAGATGCTATTTCATTTTATTCTGGTTCTGTTTCTCTGAGAAGTTAATTGTCAGTCTCACTGTTAATATTTTGAAAGTAATATGTCTTTTTCTTCTTTTTTTGGTCTTCTTTTTTAAAGTCTGATAATTTCAACAGCTGGGTCTTCTCTGGGTCTGGTTCTATTGACTCTTTTATCTTTTCATGAGGGTATGTTTTCTTTCTTTTTATGTGTCTTGCATTTTTATTTTTTAAAGGCTATTATATATAAAAGAGCAGTAGACACTGAAATAAATGTCCAAAATGGAATACCTCTCCTTTTGTCAGGCCATTAGT